TCAAACTCGCTTTTTTAGCGATAATCGAACTTAAAACCTCTTAATTGCCAATGCAAAAGAATACTACTAGACTATTGTACTAAGTGGTAAAAATAATTATTATTTGTATAACAAAAAAAAACAATTATTATAATTTTTTAAAAACAAAAAAGAAGAAGAGAGAAGAAAAGATAAGCTCACAGGGGTTGAAAGGCTGAACCCAGTAACAGTGTCACTGGACACTCTCTCACTCTGCTGGGTTATTTTGGTGAATGAGAGTTATTTTTTCGGCCTGAAGTTCGGGTATCTGATTCTTCAAAAAATTTTACAGAGGTGTTTCTTTCAAGATATTCATCTTTATTTCATGTATTTTTATTTTTATTTTAAATCTAAACAGTTCAAATTATATTGTAATTTGGTCTGACACTAAATTTTCAGAAGAAAAAAAAAAGGAAGAAAAAAAAAAAAACAGGAGTTATATTTCGTAGAGTAAATTAATTGGTCAAATAGTCTGTTCGAAAAAGCTTATTTCCCAAGTTCATATTTCTTTCTAATAGGGGAGGTGATCTTTCCACTCTCCTTTTTTCATACACTATTTTTTAAATTAAAAAAACTGGGAGCGAAAATTACTATGAAAAAAGTTGTTCCCCATTACGATCCATATGTTACGGACCTGCCAAGGTATTTAAAGAACTTAACCCAAAGCACCTTTACCCTTTTTATTTCCTCATATTCGAGATTTTGACCACGTTTGACAAGTAGGATTGGACAAGATTGAATAGGATTAGAGTTAGGGTTGACTTGAATTGAGATGATAACTCTAATTTCTAAACCCAATTAGTTTGGCGCAACTTATGGTTAAGAGGGTTGGAATAGATCGTTGTCGAATTCGCAAATTAGATCCCAAGCCCTAGCTAGCACCAAGAACGGGTCTAGGTTGGTGAGGTTTAGAGGCATTGGGGAATGGGATTCTCGGATCGTCCCAGGCGTTAAGATTCTCGACTTGCCTACAAGTGTCCTGATAGTCAACATTCTTAGGTTGTGTCATGATCGTTAGGAATTTGGGTCGGATCTGACCCAACAACATGACCTTGGATGCCCTAGTCAGGGTTTGGGCATCGGGACTCACAAATCAAGTATATCCTACTCACCAGAGTCCCCAACCCAATCCCCTGGCTTTAAGGTTCTCATGCTGGAGTCTTGGTCCCAAGGTTTTGATCATCTAGTTGTTTTGGTAGAATTAGTTGTCCCATAAAAATACATATGGTTGGATTATAGTGAGATTCTTAACCAATCCGCCATGACCATTCAGTACCCATATAGGGTTTAGATTAAACTAACCCAATCCTGCTACTTATAGTGTGTTTATTTATTTATTAACAAACATATTATCTACATTAAGAGGGTAAGAGAGTGGGTTAAGTCTCACAATGAATTCGCAATAATGTGGTTCAAATTTGTTTTTGGTGAGAATCGAACCTAAAACCTCTCACTTACAAATGAAGAGGAATATCACTAGATCGTAATACTAAGTGTTATTTTTGTTTAATCTTTTCAATGTTAAAAAAATATCTTAATTTTAAACCGTCTTTCTCATTAATTATAAAAATACATACAGTTGGTTATTCATGTTCACTTTCCTCCTATGCATAAAAAAACACACAACATATAAGCTTGGAGACAGAGAAGGTGTAAGCGTGTAGAGAATCCAATTCCAAACAGAGTCATGCCTTTATATTATAAATAGCAAACAAGTACATTCCATATCTTCTCATACATTTTTTAAAAAGAAAACTAATGGAAAGGGTTTGAAAATTTTGAGTTTTAACGATAAGGACAAAATAAAGGGTAAAATGAATAGTACCAGGATTGACTTTTTAGTGTAAAAATGTGGTTTTTCATTAAAGTGAATAGTACCAGGAACTTTTCGTTAAAGTTTCCTTTTTTAACATGAATTTGGATCCTTTCCGGATTCTCATTGTGAGAATTTTAAAGATAAATCATTGTAGCTGCTCATCACACATTTTGTAACCACAAATTATTATGCCATGTAGATAAAATTAAAAATTCAAATGATTTGTAGCCGTAAGAAATGTGATGAACGGCTATGAAGACTTGATCCCTAGGATCCTCACAATCAAGATCCAGAGGGATCCCCAACACAATAAACAAAGGCCAGAGCAGGACTTTCAATTGAAAAATAAAAATAATAAATAAATAATTGGTCCCTTTGTTAGGTTAAAAGGACATAAAAAGGATTTTTCCCTAAATTTGGGTGTGACAATTCATAAAATATTCTAAGATGGGGGCTAAAAACTTGAATGGAAAATAGCAACTGTTGCTGTGTTGCTGAAGAAAGTGGATCCTCTCTGTAGTCCTGTGACATTTCCACATTGCACTGGATTATCAAAAGCATTTCAATTTGGCTTTTTTGGCAAAATGGTCTCTGAATTTTACATAATACCAAACTTTGGTCATTGAGATTGAAAATCAATAGAAGTGATGTCTTAGATTGTCCACCATCCATTATTTTGGTCATTCCATTAAAAAACTCCGTTAAGTGGTCCCTGAGCTTTTTAACGGAATGGTCAAAATGATGGATAATGGACAATATCAGGGACTAAAGTTATGTATTATGCAAATCTCAGGAACCAAAGTTATGTGTTATGCAAATCTCAGGGACCATTTTGGCTAAAAACACGCTCAACTTAACAGAGTTTTTTAACGAAATGACCAAAATAATGGATGGTGGACAATCTTATGAACCACTTCTATTAATTTTTAATCTCAAAAATCAAAGTTATGTATTATGCAAATCTTAGGAATTATTTTGACAAAAAAACCTTTCAATTTCTATTTCCAACTTTTTAAGGCAGTGGGACCAAAATCACAGTGAACCAAGGAAAATGGAGTTTGTTCCTTTGGATAGAAAGTATCATTTACAATTCTAAAACACTTATCTTTGTCGGGAAGTAATTTCTACACTTCTTTTCACCTTCCGATAAGCTCCTTTAATTCTAACATCTATTTATTTTTTTACACTGTTCAATTCAACGACAAAAGATAAAGAATGTGCAAAAATCATTACACTATTTTATTTTTCTTTGCAAAGATGAAACTAAAATAAGTATGATGAACACTTCTGTCATATTTTGTTCAACTATGATTCCATGTATTGACATGGTTGATTATCTACGATATAAATTATCTTTTAAAGCAGGTGATCCTCTATCATAGTGGTGGGAGGAGAGACGTTCTTGCATGACAGCAGGGATTCAAACCCCGCTAATGGCAAACTAATTCTAACTTAACGACAATATCGCTCAACTCAAAAAAAAAAAAAAAAAATGATCAACACAGGATTGGAATCCTATAGTTTAAGCTCTGTAGGGTGATTACACACCTTAAAACTATTACATCCCCGCCCGGGCCCTCACCACATCCCAGGCTTGACTCCACCGTAGCACAATATTGTCCGCTTTGAACCCCTACCATACCCTCACGGTTTTGTCCGCTTTGAACCCCTACCATACCTTCACGGTTTTGTTTATGAGAACTTGCACGAGAACTTCCCAGTGGGTCACCCATCCTCAGATTGTTCTCGCGCGAACTCACTTAACTTCGGAGTTCCTACGGAACCCGAAGCCAGTGAGCTCCCAAAAGGCATCGTGCTAGGTAGAGATGAGAATATACATATAAGGCTTACAGGATCCACTCCCCTGGGCGATGTGGGATCTTACTATCCACCCCCTTAGGGGTCTGACGTCCTCGTCGGCACACTTCCGGCCATGGATTGGCTCAGATACCAAATTGTCACATCCCAACCCGGGTCCTCACCACATCCCAGGCTCGACTCCACTGTAGCATGATATTGTCTGCTTTGGGCCCCTAGACCCTCACGGTTTTGTTTCTGGGAACTCACACGAGAACTTCCCAATGAGTCACCCATCCTGGGATTGCTCTCACGTGAACTCACTTAACTTCAGAGTTCCTACAGAACCCGAAGCCAGTGAGCTCCCAAAAAGCCTCGTGCTAGGTAGAGATGGTAATATACATATAAGACTTATAGGATCCACTCTCCTGGACGATGTGGGATCTTACAAAAACAATCAATCATGTCAATAACTAAGACCAAACGAAAGAAAAATGAGGAGAAATGATCCTATCAGTTATCATGTAAAAAACACCATTCTCCAAGTGAGCGCACATAAATCAAGAAATGATCCAACATTCAAACACCAAACATCAATGCCACATATTGAGTGAGGAAAGAGATAAAGAGTAAGGGAGAAGACCGACGACATGTTTACTGACTAAGAAGAGTATGCAAAGTGTGTATCATTCTAATTCCTAACACATCCTGTGTTTTTCAAAACACCAGAAATAAAGAAAATAAGTGGATCTGACATTGAAATTAGGTATGCTATACCCAATTTCTACTATGTACCATTACTAAAGGAAAAATGTTTATCCCATACCTGAAAAACTACCTTGTATCATTACCATATTATTTACATACCCAAAGAAGTAAACACGCCCCTAAGTACCGGACATGGGAGTTTCTCTCCTTCCATGTACCATAAACTAATCACATTGGTTTAATCTACTATTAAAACTATGGTTAGTTTGGTACATATGATTGAATTGAAATAGAAAATTACATAAAAGACCACACGAAAATGAGACATCGAATTTTCACTACCTTCCAAGCCAATGAACATATTGGTCATATCAGGAGCAAGAAAACAAGAAAATAAAAAGGACAAAAAGGAAGAGGACAAGCGAAAAAAATGAGAAATATGCAATAGGAAAAAAGAACCAACCAATCCAAATCCTTATGCTTTTCTCCCCACTCACATGGGATGAGGATATGAGGATCCTCTCCGGATTTTTTTTTTTTGTAAGAATTCTAAGAATCATTTCATCGTGTCTGTTCATTATATATTATACGGCTCATTTTCGTCAAGTAATGTTTCTGTCGATTTTAATTAAAAAAATTAAGAAGGTTTCTATCCTCAAAATGACGAATAAACGAACATGATAAAATGATTTTCGGTATCTCACAAAGAGGATCTGGATAGGATCCTATTCCCCTCACATGGGCCTTTTGCCCCACCGGCCAATCAGATTCCATACTTTTAGGTGTTACGGCGGACCCCACAAGTTTCTTTGCCAAACAGCTAGCACAAAGAGGAACAAAAAATTGACCAAAAAAAGAGGAACAGAAAAGGATCTATTTTCTTTGAGTCAAAACAATACACACGCGGCTGATCGTCGTTTTGGAAATTGTAAAGAGAGAGAAACTGATAGTTGAGATTCGAGAGCCTTGAGAGACCCTTTGTTGGACCTTACAGACCTCCACCGGGGAGAAGGGCCGGCATGCGCAGTCGGATGTGATTGTCTGATGCATTGTTTAAGCAAACTTGGTAACAGCAACGGCATGGTGGTATGGTCTAGTCTCGTGTTTTCATGGTGATGCTGATGAGGAGGGGTTCAGCACTTGTGGCTGCGGCTGCTGGCGGCGGTGGTTAAGAAAACCGAAGTCACCAAACAGACCCTGAAACATATGAGGAAAGAGAAGTGAAAACGTTAGAATTTTTACCACAGCTATGTTCTTGTTCACCATCAAGTAGGTTAAATAAGAATTTTGGTCTTATATTTGTCCATATTCCAAAAGATTATTCGAGTTATTTGGGTCGATCTCGCATGACAATATATAACTACGAAAAAAATGTGCAGGATTTCAGTCGCACATGGACATACCAGTGCATCATTGATTGCATAAGCCACGCAGTAGTGCTCCTGAAAAACAGAAGATTGGGACAATACTAAGCGAATCATTAATGAAAATATCGATGAACATTTGACAAAAAATCCTTCAGTGTCCCCTGAATAGAGGAGAGAGACGGAGATGATCGCATATCATATCGGCATTTTCTAATAGGGCAGTACAGGTGAGACGATCCAGCCTACAAGAAAAAGGACCAGTGGGTGCTTCTGGCCCTACATAACTTAGGTCACTGGACTAACTGCGGTCCCATGAATCATGTGCCTGCACGTGGAAACTCACACGTGCGGAAGCAAGCACAATACAGGGAGGAGACCAACTTAAGTAACCTCTGTCCAATTACTTATACCAAAAAAAGTTCTAACAATTCTGTTTCCTTTTAACAAAATAAATGATGGGGTGACTTGCCTGCATCATATGCCATTCTTCAAATTCATCAAACAATTCCAATCGTTCAATCCTAATCAACAAGACATCACATATCCCAAGAATAATTCAGAAACAATAGCAAGTTAGCTGACAAAGAGCTGATAAAAAGAACACACGCATGGAGAGAGAAACAGAAACAAAAGCCAAAGCAGAGGCGCTTTATATCCTAGATACTACAAGCTTTAGAACCTTGAAAAGCAGTGGTGGTACCACAATGTCACTAGTAGTACAACCAGATAAATCAAGGGAACTTTAAAACAGATAATAGCAATAGAAATACCAAAACCAACAAGAACAAGAAAAAGCTTAAAATCGGGGAAAAGACTTCCAGAGAAAAGTCCAGTGGAATCTAATTTTCTGTAAAGTAAGATTCTGATAAGCCAGTTATTCGACCCTTTCCTAACCTTCATGATCCAAACCCAAATTTGAAGTTTTTATTCTTAGGAATACTCAAGTATAGAACTCAACTCTAGTAAAAATCAATAAGTCAGAAATCACAATACCTCCTCTCAATGGCAGAAGTGTGTATGTAATGAAAAAAATTAAACTAGGATATGGCTTTCTAAGCCGGTAAACAATCAATTAGTTAGAAAGTGAAACACAAATTTGAGTACTGAAACTTCATGGTTAGCTTGGACTATCTAAATTTGTTTCAAGCAGGTCCCTCAACCAGTTTTCTTGAAATTCAAGCAGGATAAAATGGCTATCAAACAATTCTGAAAGCCAGACAGTTTTACAGATTTGCAGACCTCAAAGACATTAATATAAGGGGAAGAATTTGATAAATACTAATCCAAGTTTTCTGGTAATAGTTATGTGATGGGAATGACAAAGAAACGTGTCTTGGTAATTGGCAAGGTGAATATTGTCCTCTCATGTAGGAACTGGCTGTGTCGCTGTATTTCATAGTTATTCTGATCTTTGGTTGTATTTTGGGTTCATTGCCTCTGTAGTATTTTATTAATCCACAGTGGACGGCTGGTTCACTGGTTCTCTAATTGGTATTCTTTTTCAATTACAGAGTGATTCTTCTTCATATGCAACAAAAAGGAAACAAGAAAGATAAAAAGTAAAGCATCTAATTGCAAAGACAAGCAAACAACTAACAGTTTTCCAAGATACATATTAGACATACCTGCGTCTTTCTTGAGCTTCAACAAAATCACTGTATACTTTAAGCATGTCCCAGGCAACAGCCCTCTGAAACCTCACACATTAAAAAAAAAAATCACATTACTAAAATGTAAGATAGATATTGGATGAAGATTAATCAAGTGAAATAAAAACAATGATGGACAGGATGCAAATAAAAGCAACCTAAAAATAAACTTGAATTTGGAGGGTGACCAAGTTTTAATAATGAACATAAATTACTACGATGTTCAACTTCATTTTTTTGTGTGCGTGTGAATAAAATCTTCAGAACCATAAAGTTGTCATGTTATTATTTGTTCAGATCTATTTCCTGCTTTCCAAGGATCTAATTCACGATAGATGACTGCTCAACCATAATTTAAAGGAGTCAATCACCGTTGTAAATTCTGTGATGTGCCCATACCCAAGAGAATAAAGAATTTCTGGTGCATCATCATAAACATCTCAGGCAATAAATCCAAAATATGATAGCTTAATGCCAAAAGGCACTAAATATAATTTACAACATCTACCTGCCATCCTTGTTCAACAAAAAGGTTTTCCTTTGCCTGTAATGTTGGTGTATCATGTATGCCCAAGAGTGCACAGCCTCGACTCTGAAAATATAAACACAATAACAATACTATTTGCACATCAAATTTATTCCAGATAACATGAGATGGTGCTGAGCAACGTAGTTTAACCTAAAGAAATAGAGAGATAAAATAAGCATGAAAGAGAAATAGTGACAATTCCAGACCAAAAAGGTGTAGGCGTGTGTATCCTAGACAATCTTCAAAGTTGATAAATATGTGTTTGAAATTTGAATTGATTTATCTATTTTTTCTTTTCAAAACAAGAGATTTTATTTAAAATTCAGTCCCACTCTACGTGTGGTACACACAGGATAACCAAACCAACAAGCTAGTCTACGTCATCTAGACTGTAGACAAAACATAAAATCCTACAAGGAATACAAAGAAAAACAATTAAAAGGCACCGCAACTGAAAGAGAGAAGAAAGGAGGAAATAGACGTCAGCTGTGAAACAAAACATAACATCATATGTCCCATTATTCCTCTCAGTCCATAAACAGAACACGAGGCACAATGACATTGCCTCCCAAATAATAGTGTTGTTCAGGTGCCTGGTAAAACATCTTCAACTCTTCTAATATTTACAGAGTATTAAAATACAAGACTCAGCAGACTCTAAAAGAACAGAAGCAGCATAAAAGTTGAGGAGGTAAGCGCAGAATCATCATAGCCCATGCTGATCGTAGTTTATCACATTGCATCTTCCTTTGTTTAACAGGGCCTTTATAATTGACAGAACTTGGAACTTACAAAACATACTTCAGTTACATGAGCAACAGCCCAAAACATATTCCCAATCAATAACTGAACTTATCTATTCTGCCCTGTTCTCAGGCAAAGGCTGAGATAAAATTGTCATGCATATTAGAGAACCTGAGTTTTGAACTGTGGTTTTGGCACATTTAATGGCAATTTGATTAGGAGATCTCTCGTATGAGTGCTCTTCCAACACCTGTGCTTCCGATAATTCTTTTAAATATTACAGTTTTTATCTATCACTAATTAATTAAAAAGTGAAAGTAATAAAATGGTGAAGATCTGTAAGGGCTCAATTTTTTATTTTTTTTATTAATTTTTTTTTATTTAGAAAGAAACGACAAAGGCAATAAAAAAAACACAAAGTGAAAAGCTGCATAGTGAATTGAAGTTAAAAGAAAAGACTGAATTACTAAATAAATAAGGACAAACAACCGGAAGAAAGTAAAACAGACCTCCAAGTTTCTGATCATCTGCTGCCCAAAAGCATCATCTGGATGAATCTGCTCATATAAGAAAAATATCGCCGTTGAAAATGTTTTTGATGTCCATCTAACTATGGAACGACTTGAATCTGGATCCAAGTATATCAAAACGCATTCTGCAATTATAAAAGTTGGAAGGCTGATAATAATATTAGAATAAACCATTTAATCACTAACTCAAGGAAAACTTAAACCACAAGATGTCAATAATCCTGAAAGACTAAAGGGAAAGACTGATTGAAAGCATTAACAACAAATTGTAGTGACTGTAAGAACATACCTTGGATCCATACCAGCTAAAGTTATAACATCGGCTAATTTTGGTATGTCACGCAAATCAACAGGAAGTAGCTTGTAGTGGTCACTGAGCACTTCTCCACTCTCTGCAAAGTAAAAATGCTATAATTGTGTCCCGACAACAGTTTGAATATTTCAATTGTGTACATAAGAGAAACAAATGACATTCCTAAAGATATGAATCAAAGTTCCAATCACAAGATAAAGGGAAATCAGCCTCAAAAGTTTTCCAAGTGCATCAGAGAAGATTGCAACTTTCAAATCATATAGGCACATAAGATATCAAAGCACTCCAAAGACACATGTGGTCAATTAAACGGAAACCAGTCATAAATTTATAACATCAGCAACACAGGAGTATCTACCTCGAGAGATTGATGCTGTCGCACTAATTTTGTCCCTCAAATGACTGCACATTTCAATAAGTGTGGCCTTCTTACTAGTTACCTAGTAAACAAAAAACACAATTTGAAATTCTTGTTGTGATAAGGATGCAAGTAAAAACAAAAAACTGAAGACAATATTTCTATACGGTAGACGAAGCAGACTATTAACTCTTGGCCTGACATGAAAAGGGGTTGGCTAGCTTGAGTTTGTCCACAAACAATTCAGTCATTAAACACAAGACAGTTTGCATACTCAAAAGGAAAATCAGTGTCTAGCCAACAGAATCAATGCAATATTAATGAATATTTCACAATTCATACCTCCTTAAAATCCAGCTCAACATACAAATATGGTGCTTTCCCCTCATCCTGTCAACCAAAAGACCACAAAATGTGAACAATCCCATAAATATGTACACTGCTATTTACTCATAAATGGAAACAAAGAGAAGATCACAAAAAGAATCACACAACGCAAAACCATTGTACGGAAAAAAAACACACTTTATTTATCCTGATTCCTGAAATTAACTTAAAAGGGTTCCATCCTATTTCACAACCAAAAAGCTAAACAGGACGATAGTAGTTGCGGCTCCAAAGAAAAAGGTACCTGCAGCTGAAAATATGTTGTATCAAAGCCAGCTCCAAGTGATAATATCTGCTTCTTCAAATGACCCTTTTCACCCGCATTTCCTTCAGTATCAAGAAACTGATTCAAAAGCTTCCGCAGAGCAGCCCAACGAGCAAAGTAACCTGGTTTAATGCAAAAACAAGGAAGCAAAGAAATCAAAATTCATTAATGTGAAGCAGTACTTAACAACCTCATGAACCTTCAACTCTAATCTTTGATGGAGCAGCTAAATCTAAATCATACCGCGGTTAATAATCGGAGATCTTCTCACAGGTCTTCTCACAAACAAATGGACATAATCGTCTTTCATGTACCCTTTCTTCACGCACGACCTTTACGCAGCGATACAGTCAGTTCAAAATTAGCACTGTGCATTTCAACCTAGTACCGACAGTTTCACACTCATTCATAGTTCACGCAAAATTGAATTTTCCTCTCTATTTTCTCGGCAACCAAACAGAAATTAACGGAAAAAAGGCATATTTAGTACAACATGGCTAAAAATCATATCGTGCAGTACTATATACGCAAAATTTGACCGAAAGTATATGCGAAATTGCAAAATAAATTGAAAAATAGAACGGATTAATTCGAAAAAGGCAGAAAGTTGAAAGGTTAAGGGAGCGCACAGTTTGCTGGCCGAAGCGTCGTCGTTTGTTGCTTGAACTGCTTCTTTGTTGCTGCGCGAATCCATCGTTTCCAGATTTCAAGTTTTCTCCTTTCTTTTTCTGCGTTTATTTGTTTTACTGCGCTTTTCTTTGTTCTGAATATTTCCAGTACAACCTAATTTCCACACACAAAAAAAAAGACAAAGCGCAAAAACACGCGGCGTGATATCAGTTGCTTGTGTATGGTAATATAGTGGACTTTCTCGCAGCCGATATTAAAACCTGGTTAGAACCCCTTCGGTCCCCATTTCCCGCCCTCCTCTGGTTTAACATCGCCGCCGCCCGCAACTTCCAGCTTCCCTCCTCTCTCCGCCGTCAGCCACCACAACCTCTAGGTTTATTGTCTATTCCTCGGGCTCTCTGTCTCGGAAACCGGAAATAGCAGGAAACCATAATCAATTATCCAATTTTGCAGAAGCATTGGCGGGAGGTGAACATAATGGCAGAGGAATGATAGTTACACATCAGGCACGGCGGATCTGTCGTGATATGGCGCTTGGCGGACGATATTTTTACATAGCCTCCGGACACATATCCTCACCTTGGGTGGAACATTTGCCCTCCAAATCTTAACCCAAAAACAGGATGCCAGGTTTGGCCCAAGGAAGAGGAAGCGCCAGCGTTCCTCTGCTGCACCCAGTCCCTTGCAATGTGATATGCACTCTTAACCGTAAACAAACCCCGCTTGTCGTAGTGCCAAATTAAATGGTCCCCAGGGCGAATCGGATGTACTTCCATTGCCTTGTGATTGGATCGATCAGTTCATTGAAGGACTGTAGAGGGCAATCCCTTGGTTTGGGTGAGACGATCCGAAAAAATGAAGGCAAGGGGATCCAACATCATTCTCCAACCTCGCTTGGCTAACAAACTGAGATTGGAGGCGTATGTGTTCCTAATGTCCAAGGTCCCTTCGATTTTCGGTGAACACAACTTGTCCCGAGAAAGTCAGTGTATTCTTCTCTCCCCTTCACAGCCATTCCACCAAAAGAAGGCAATTAACCGATTTAAATTGTCGCAAAAACATTTTGGCAAGAGGAAACAATTCATAGTGTACGTCGGAATGGCTAGAGCAACTGCCGTAACAAGGAGCTCTTTTCCAGCGGCAATCAGAATCTTCCTCTTGCGACTTTAAAGTTTCTTCCAAAGGCGTTCCTTAATATGTTTCGACCTACTAGTGTCGGCATATACCCAAATACATTTCATGGCGATCCATCATCTGGACTCCCGACAAACTGGCAAGTTTTAGTTGCTCCGGTCGCTTAATGTTGCGACTAAAGCAAACTTCGCTTTTAAGAATGTTGACTTGTTGCTCCGAGGCACACTCATAAGAATGGAGGACCTCAGAAATCTGAGGGCATTCCGCCTCATTTGCCCCACTAAAAAGTAGGCTATCGTCTGCGACTAGGACGTGATTCACACTCGGAGCCCCACAGTATATGGAGACCCCTGTAATTTTCCTTCCTCCTGCCGTTTAGTAATAAGGGGGATCTCCTCACCACAGACCCCGCAACGGCTGGACGTAGCCTCTTGGACGGGCGTTGATGATGAAAGAAAATGAATTGAAGACATAAATGACATAAGGATTAAGGGTACAGGTGTAATACGGTTAGAAATATAGTTAGTAACGTAGTTTCTAAGGTTGTTAGTATTTGGTTAAAGTAGTTAGGATTTCTCTTATAAAAACAGTGTGTGTAATCCTTATTTTGTTAGTCAATACAAATCCTATTTCTCTCTCTAATATCTCTGTGGTCATCCTTTCTTCTTGATTTTTCTTTCAATTTCCAAACATTGCAATGTAGTTAACATGGTGGCTACATGGTATTAGAGTCACCAGACTCATGCCATGGATTCTGGTGGTTCCATTTCCCATTATTTTTCATCTGTTTCTAGTTAGTTTCTTTCCAAATTTCATTAGATGTTCGATTAAGTTTTTGGGTGCTTCCGCGATCGTTCTTTTACTTCTAGGTTATTTTTCTGTACTGTGATCAGAGATTTCTCCACTGATCTAGATGAATCCTCTTTCTTTCCGAAGTCGGATCGCGGATCACAGACAAAGAGGCCATTCTCACTGTTGGCTTTTGGTGTTTGTTGACCACCATCACGATGCAAACTAGATTGGGTTGTTGATCAAATTGCTATAAGATACACCTATCAACATAGACTAATTGAAGTATGATGGTGGGATATTCGCCTTTAATATGGTGTTGGCTTTGGCATTCGTATGTCAGGATTAGACTAATTGAAGTATGATGGTGGGATATTCGCCTTTAATATGGTGTTGGCTTTGGCATTCGTATGTCAGGATTAATTTCTTGATGTGTTCATCTTTCTAGTGCAGAATTCAAGCAATATAGTTCATTCCTTTTGTGAGGCATCTTTGATATAGTTCTGGTTTGCTTCCTCGGCGTTTTTTTTTGGGTCAAGATTGAAGTTCTGATCAGGTTCATGATTTCTGGTTTTCATAGTGCACATAATCTGTTTGATTAAATGTTTCAGTAAGAAAATGTTCACTATTTTGTTCATCTTTCTTATGAATCTCTTCTGGGATATTAGTGTAATATTTGGGATATTTGGATTCAAGAATATTGATCGTCGTGGTCAGTTTGAGTTTTCATTGGGTATCCAACAAGGTGAATTGTAGTGAAAAGTGAATGAAAGGTGCGATCTTAAAGATGGGTTTTGATTCTTGTCTCTCTGCTTCACTGATGGGTTTGATTTTTCTGCGAACCTTGATATGTTTGGAGAAACAGGTGTGAATTCTTGAGTTCTGGCATGTACAAGTTTATGGTTATTCAGATTATGGTTTGTGTCAAACTGAGAAGTGTGATGTCTAAGAAGATTCTTCAGAAGCTTATTGAGGAGTTTGTACAATATGTTCCCTTATCACAGCCTATAATTTTAGAGTCTAACCAGCTCAGTTGTTAGCATGTATCTACTGTAAGTCCGGTTATATGTGTCTGAAAAGATGAGGTTTGAAGAAGTTGTTAATATCGAAGGGTAATTCTATGTTATGAATAGGTAGTGTTGTGAATTGGTAAAATCCACAAAGTGCGATCCCGTGGACATTAGTGTAGTGTAGTGTAGTATTGGTAGAAAGCCATTAGAAATGGGCATGAAGCCATTAGTACTTGAAGATTGTTGGCACGAAGCCATTAGAAGTTGAAATTTGTTGGCACGAAGTCATTAGTAATTAGTTTTGATTGTGAGCACGAAGCCAATGTTAAATGAAGTTGTTGATGGTAGATCCCACGAAGGGTAATCCCGTAAGAAATTGTTATAATCGGCATGAGGGTGTGTTACAACTTTATAAGAGGCTGTTCTTTGTGAAGCTTCTGTCAAATGCAGAGGAATATTAGACTTTTGGATGTGTGCAACATAAATCTTTTCTAAGATCTTGGTCTATACGTTGCAGTGAGGTAGTGAATATATTTGGGGGAAAATGGGTATCATATTTGGTTTGGACAATCACTTTCACAGGTTGGAATTTGGAGGGAGTTTTCTGTAAAGGTGGAACAACACGTTCTTTGGGAGCTTCCTCACTCATAGTAGAGTTTGATCTTAAAAAAAAAAAAGTTATGCTTTAAACTGGTTCTCTGCAGCTTAATCTTTCATTTAGTTCTTCAAGAAGCTCAAGAAACATAATAGGGAGTAGGGAGAGAGATGGCTTCCTCACACTGCTTTGCACTCTCGTGTTCTTACTGCTCCTTGTTGGGTGTTCCGGAAGGCCAATCCATCCGCTTCCTAGTAAAGCAGCCGATCCCACCAATAGACAACCTCTACAAACTTCTCTATATAACATTGCTCATCGAGGTTCAAATGGAGAGATTCCTGAAGAAACTGCTGCTGCATACATGAGAGCTATTGAAAATGGTGCAGACTTCATTGAAACGGATATCCTATCTTTGAAAGATGGTGTTCTTATATGCTTTCATGATGTGACCCTTGATGATACAACGGATGTTGCCGAACACAAGGAATTTGCATAATCAAGTTGGAAGGTGTTTACAACAGTAAGATCACTTGCTCTATAACTCAGATGTTAATGGTTTTGATATGGAACAAGGTGATACACATGAAGATATTATGACATGGAATGAATCTGAGGTGGATGAAGAGGAATTGCAAGATTGCAGATGGTTCAACTCTGTATTCTGTTTTCTGGTTTCATAACAGTGATTGCAGCTTTGTTCTTCCAATCTCAAACTGGGTTTCCCCAGTTGAGATTGAGGGGGAGTATTAAGGGTACAAGTGTAATATAGTTAGAAATACAGTTAGTAATATAGTTTCTAAGGTTGTTAGTATTTGGTTAAAGTAGTTAGGATTTATCTTATAAAAATAGTGTGTATAATCTTCATTTGGTCAGTCAATACAAATCTTATTTCTCTCTCTAAACTTTCTCTCTCTAATATCTTTGTGTTCATCCTTTCTTCTTGATTTTCCTTTCAATTTCCAAACATTGCAATGTAGTTAACAATAAGCAGTTTAATCCATTTTGAAGAGAAACCCATTATAGTAAGGATATGATCATAAGCTTTCCTTGTTGTGCGGAAGCGTCAACCAAGTGTGAGAGTGAAAAATAAATCACAATAACTGACAAAAGATAAATGGAACAATACCAACAAGAACACCAAGATTTATACTGGTTCGGCAATGCCTACATCCAGTTTGGAGACGACGGAGTATTTCACTATAATCAATGAGAACAATACAATAGTGTTTATCACTCAATTTCCCAAAGACCCAACTAACCCCAAGCTCACACACTTACAATAGGAAGAGAAAACCAAAAATACAAAGCAAGACAATTTGAGAAAATTCTTCTCTATGCCGAATGGCTTCTTGCTATTTTTCTCTCTTCCTTTGATCTCCTTCTTGGTGATGATATGAGTTATGCCTACACCTCCTTATATAGGCCAAGGCCTCTCATCAAGTCAAAAGAATTAGGCCTAAGTGCATTCACAAATTAGGCATAAATGCATCCATTCTTTGACCACAAATTAGGCATAAGAGCATCCAATTTATTTCCCACATGTAGCATGCCAACCATCAATTTTGACCACAAAAGTAGCCAACCTAAATTGTTGGTTTTACACTACATGGTTTGTGCCAATAATCAACAATCTCCACCTTGGCGCAAACCCTCTAAGTAGAACTCCCAATAGTCGTCTCCCACTCCCCCATGGGGCAATCAACAAATTTCACAAATTCCAATCAAGTCTAAGCAGTGCTTAAACTTGAGCAACTTAAGCCCGATCGTAAATCGATCAAATCGCTTGTACCATTGTCTTGGAGACTGCTTCAAGCCATACAATGATTTTTCCAATTTGCAAACCCAATTTTCCTTTCCAGCAACCTTAAAACCTTCTGGCTGAGACATATAAATCTCTTCCTCCAAATCACCATGTAAGAACGCAGTCTTGACATCAAGTTGGGCCAACTCAAGATCAAACTGCACAACCAAAGCCAACAGAATACGAATAGAAGAATGTTTTACTACAGGAGAAAATACCTCATTGTAGTCAATGCCTTCTTTCTGAGCATAGCCTTTAGCTACCAATCTGGCTTTGAATCTTACATTGTCTTTTCCCAAAGATTCCATCTTTTTGGCATACACCCATTTACAACCAATTTCTTTCTTCCCCTTTGGTAACTGAACCAGCTTCCAAGTCTTATTTTGAAGAGATTTCATCTTCTCATCCATAGATTTCTTCCACAACTCGTACTCTGAACTCATGACAGCTTCTTTGTAGGTCGATGGAATATCATCTTCAATAACGGGAAGTGCATATGCCACAATATCAGTAAATCGAGCAGGCTTTCGAATTTCCCTTCTCGATCTTCTGGTTGCAATATAGTCTTGTTGCTGTGGAGGCTCTTGGGTAGGTGCCTCCTCTTCATCATCCTCGTCCTCATCATCATGATTAACTGTAGGACTAGTGTCTGTAACATCAGACCTTACTGGAACAACTGGAGTCTTCAGTAACTCCACCTGTTTTGAGCTACTCATGGTCTCGGTCATTTCAGTTTCACCTTCATGCTTGTTCTGATTAACCATAGCAGCCTCATCAAAGGTCACATCTCTGCTTACAACAAATTTCTTCACATCTGGACACCAGAGTCGGTATCCCTTCACGCCAGTGCTAAAGCCCATAAATAGAGCTTTCTTTGCTCTTGGATCCAACTTGCTTTCTCTGACATGATAGTAAGCAGGACAACCAAATATGTGTAAGAACTTGTAATCAGTACAAGGTTTACCAGACCATACCTCCATGGGCGTTTTGCCCTCATTCGCAACAGCTGGCAATCGATTAATGAGATGGCTTGCATAAGTAATTGCCTTAGCCCAAAACGCCTTGCCTAATCCAGCATTAGACAACATACACCGAACTTTCTCAAGCAAAGTACGGTTCA